CAGGTTGCACGCCCCACCCCACCGTCCCTCACCAATGCATGCCCCTTTCCAAGTGGAGATCCCCCCTCCACCCCCATCTGGGCACTCTGATGCCACTAGGAGAAAAGCCCAATGACCCCTTGTCTCACCCCAGTACCCAGCACACAGCCCTTCCCCCCTGAATGCCCTCTTCACCCATAAGCCCGTCTTGGGCCAACGGGGGACACACAACCCACCCCTTTTCTCCACTGCAAGACGCTGCTCCTTCCTGGAGACCTCTGCTGCCTGCCCCACATCCGGCCACCATGAACAATACGTTTCCAACAATTATATGATGCCATTGGGACGCATTATCCTGCGACAACCCATGCACGTGGCACTTGATTTACTTCCATTTGAAAAATGGAGGGGGGAAGGGACCCCTCAGAGAGTCTATAAAGACACCCATCTTAAGCACCAGAAAGGCCCACAAGCCCCTGCCTGTCTTGTCCCAGGGTTGCGAATTATTGGCAGCATGTTCATCGCATCAGAGGTCTGGTGAGGCTGGTTCAGTGATAGCAAAACTGGAGGGTGGCCAGGGGCTCCTGCTATTTTAAGAGCGTGCAGCAGGCTAAGCTGGCTGGGTGTGTGGTTGGGAATGCACATGATAGGAAGGGGACAGGGCTTACAGGCAAATAAGCCCAAGGCCTGAGCCACAACAGGCAGCCTGGCCTTGGATGCTGCAGGGAAACGCACTCCCCAGGAAAGCTGGCTGCAGGAAATAGGCCCGTGGACACTCAAGCTGCCCACGAGAGCAAGGGTTAGACTGAGACAGCTAAGAGGGAAGCATATCTTGCAACGGGGCATTGAGCCAGAGTGGGGGAGAAGTTTTGTGGAAGCAGTTTGCTTATATTTATTATTCTTAGTTCTGGACCAGAGGACTGGATGCTAATAGGGGTAAAAAAAAGAGGGCACAGAGGTGCCTGAGAGGCACCCAGTACAGAGTCATCCAGAGAGGGTCACGGACCCCAGGGGAAGAGCAGCGTGCAAGCTGCCCAGCGAGTGTTATGGACCCTAAGGACTGTCACATGAGTCCAAGGGCCCAAAGCCAAGAGGGAGAGACAGGGCTGGGACGCAGAAGCTGACGTCTGGGACAGTGGACCTTGGACTAGGGGGACCAGCTGGAGAAGCCAGGAAGGCAGAAGCCCCAACAAAGGTTAGACGTTTGAGGGGCCAAGGGCAGTCAGGGCCAGGGCCCCCCAACCCCAAACACTGGCTGGCATCTGTAAGGCACGGGTGTGACTATAATGGGCAGCTGGAAGTCATGATTATTGCCCCTAAGGCACAACTGGGGTTGTCTTAAAGGGGAAACACACCCCATAGAGCTTGGGGCAGAGGAGCCTTAAGGACTCTATTTAAAGGAAAGGCACCCAAGAGGCTACCCCAGCTTGTGGAGGCAGCCCTCCACTTAAAAGACCTTATGATTAAGTCATGGCAGGCGAGAGACAAGAGGTCAAGGGAGGCTAGGGAGCATTGGCAGGCAGGTCTGACCACTACGTGGCATCAGGCTGCCTGAGTCTGTCACAGAGGGGTTTCTCCTTTTGAAGCTAGAAGTGTCCTTTGCTGTGTAAATTAATGGTACCGTTATATCTGCCCCAGGCCACAGGAGGCCACCTGAGTATGGAGAAGGCTGTACTGGTACAAAGGTGCTTCTGCCCATGGCCCAGCTACCCCACAGAGGATGGAGACTGGCTCAAGGCACCACACACACACAGATAGGGATACTTGAGAATCAGTCCCCTAACAGTGACCCCCCTGCAAATAACTGCACACAGACCAGGCCGCAAGGCAGGAGAAAGATCCCAGGCTGAGAGGCAATGGGGGATGTCGTGCCCCACTGTCCCCACAACAGGGTTCATGGCCAGAAGTGATGCAAACTTCTCGACACCAAGCAGGAGGGACCCCCGGGGGGAAAGGATCAGTCAGGCGCTGGGGACCGATCACGTACCAACCTCCCAGCCACCCAGGGGAAGAGTTAATACCAAATCCCCTGGGGATGTGTCCAGTTGGAACAGGACTGAACTCAGCATCAAGCAGCTGTCAGAGGGCTGGCCTGTGACAGCTGACCAGGCAGCGAATGGGTCCCCGCTCTCAAACCCCCACGTTTTCCTCCATCACAGTGAGACATTTCTGTCCATGCAGACCCCCTGCCGGGGGCATCTGCGTTATCCACCAACCTGCAAGGGAAACCAGCCAGCCTCAGGGCTCTTGCATTGAGCCCCACAGAGGCAGGTACTTAGCTTGGCAGTGGGGATTCCTCCCCCAGCCAGACGCCCCTGCCGCTGTCTGGTTGTCAGCCCCGTGCTCTTCATCTCTGAACCCATTTAACTGGGTTATTATAAGGCATCCACCGCTGCAGTAGCTGAGAGCTCAGGTCCCACAGGTCTCCCACAGTACACTGCAAGGGCTGCAGTGCTGCGCAAGTTTCTGGGGTACATACTTATGACTATGTTCGCTGGCCTAAACATGGCTATCCGGGTGACCATAGGCCCTGGCTCTCCCTGGGCCCCCTGACATCGTGTGCGTGTCTGGACCCTCCTTGCAACCACAGCTGCGCCCATGCCGGAGAGCAAGGAAAGGGGGCAGGTGGCAGTGGCATGGCACAACCTTGTACCAGTCCTTCTGTGCCTAGATCATGGATACCCTGTTCTTGATATACACGTGGTAGGGGTCACTCCGCTTGTCCACCTTCCGGGACCGGGTGTAGCCCAGGATCAGGCTCCCCACCGTGGCGGCAAAGAGGATCATGACGAACAAGATGTACATATAGGAGTTGTCATCCTTGTGGGCCAGCTGGGCCCGGCTGCTGTTCTTCCTCTCCGGGGGCTGCTCCGCAGAGCACAGGAGGGCTCCATGAAGCGTCTGATTCAGGGCTTTCAGCACCGCATGCAGGCTCTGGTACCAGGGCTCTGTCACATTCCCAGTCTCCATGTCCTTGCACATCCCCAGAAAAACGTCTGCTGGAATAAAAAGGGAGGGGAGAAGAAATTTTTCCTGAGATCTGACCTAAGCTTACTTTGCTGCAGCTTCAAGCTATTCCTCCACGTGCTCCTCTCTGCATCAAGAAAGACAAGGTGTCTCCCTCTTCTTCGTGGCAGCCCTTCAAGTATTTGAAGGCTGTTATGTTCCCTCTTAATGGGATGTCCCCTTCCCCCACGCACATCCTAGAGGGTAAGGCTGGCTAAACACAAGGCACAGGCACGCTGGCACCCAGGACACCCATCACAGCAGGGAGACTGGGACCACTGCTACTATGGGGAACCTGTTTAGGAGTCCTCCTCTCTTCCCGTGGCTGCCAGGGGTTGTCGAAGAAAGGACCTCACCCGCCCCGCGCAGAGGGCAGGATGCAAGGAGCTAATGGAGAAACCCTGATGGGAGCCTTGTCTGCACTGGGCCGTGGAGGGGACAGGGCAGGGAGCACTCAGCCAGCAGGGTCTCAGCCTACTGGGACCCACCAGCCCTGAGGACCGTCACCCCCACGCCAAGCCACCACCGAGCCGTGTCTGTGGTGGCAGCCGGCAGGGCTGAGCTGTCCAGGGGCACTCAGGATTTCCACGCTCCGCGCTCGCCCACTGAGCTCTGGCCCAAACCTCCAGCGATTGCCCCAGGGGTGGGGTCCTCCACTGAGGTTTTCCTCCCCCTTCCCCTCTAGGACGCACACCGGGGACACTCAGCCACTGCAGTTACTCAAGAGCAGCCCAGAGATGCTGTTTCCTTCCCTAGGTTGCGGCTGAGCGAGCTCCTGGCACAGCCCGTCCCCGCCGCAGCTGATCTCCAAGGCCGGCCGGCGCACGCGAGGTATCACGGTGCAATGCTGGACAGAGCCGGGCAGCTCCGCTCTGCTCCGGGAATGGGTGGGCAGGGTGCAGACCTCCCTCCCGCCCCAGGGAAGCGGGTATAGGGCTGGGAAGTGGGGATAAATACCTTGTGCTCACGTAGCTCCTTCCAGCCGAGGTGCCTGGGCTTCTAGGTAAAGGGTCTCAACAACCCCATTCAAGAGGCACAGGGAGACCCCCGGTCATGCTAGGGAGCTCAGGAGTCCCGGGGTGGGCCTCTGGGGCCGGTCGCTGGCAGAGACGCTGACGTCTGGCCTGCCCCGAGGCTGGGTTATTGCCTCTCCACCCGACGGGCACAGGCAGGCAGGGTGGGAGGAGCATGTGCTGTTGGCGCTGTGTCAGCCCGGTCCTGTGGACAGACAGAGGCTTGAGCTGGCCCGGCTGCTGCCCAGATGTCTCGATCGCGGAGCAGGATCCCGTCTACAGCTCTGCACCCCCTCGTGCAGCCAGCCCCATATGAAGTGCCGGGAGCCAGCCTGGCTCCTGATGTGGGGGGGAGGGGCAGCAAGTCGGGGGGGTGCCCAGCTCAGCAGACAACCCAGGGCACGCACAAACTCATAAAGTCACAGAGAAGCGGGGCTGGAAGGGGCCTGCCGAGGTCGCATCTAGTCCAACCCAGATCAGCCCTGTCCAAACCAGCCCAGACAAACCCATTATCCAACCTCTGAGCAAAAATCACACAAATCACCCCTGGGACAGCACCCGGCATCACAGGTAAAGCAGGCAGCCAACATCCTGGTCCTACAAAAGGTTGTTAATATATGCTCGAGAGACCCCAGGTACTGGGCTACACCTCCTGCTACAGAGGAAGGCAGCCCCCCACCCCCAGTCCATAACAATTTGATCTGGGAGAAAAATCCCTTCCTGACCCCAAATGCAGCATCAGTCTGACCCTGAGCAGAGGGGCAAGACCCTCCAGCCGGGACCCTCCAGCTTTAAGTCCCAGCAGGAGCACTGGCACAGCCCAGTCCCCAACCCCAGCCTGGGCTGCAGACAGCACCCAGCACCTCTGAGCAAGGCTTAAAAGCATCCTGACACATACTACGGAAAAAGGGGATTTTCCCAGAAGAAATCCTGCTAGTAGCACACAGGCATTGCTACACCGAGATCATCCCCAGCCAGGGGCTGTCGACCCTCTCCCTGAACACCCAGTGATGGAGAGTCCACCCCTTCCCTTGCGTCTATCCCCCTGCCTCCCTGCTCTGACAGCGAAGAAGTTTTTGCTGCATAGCTGGACATAGCTAGGCCAGGCCGTGCTGGGCAACCTTGCATATATTTGGGGCTTGGTCACTGCATGGTGTTGTTTTGTACCCTCTAATATCTATCTCCCCTTCCCCCTTTAACCTCACCCGTCTTCAGCCACTCACCCCTGCCCCTTTTATTTTCAAAAGGGAAGAGAAAGCACAAAGATGTCAAACCAGCTCGGCACTGACCGCAGGGGAAGGTTCTCCCTGCAGCTTCCTCGTTTCACACACAGTCCCGGTGCCTGCTCCCCATCGGGGCCACATGCAGCCTTGGAGCTGGACAGTGAGATGGTCAGGTATTAACCGGTGAGCTGCTGGCCGTCCTCTGCTCCCGAGGACTTGCTGAGAGTCCAGACCCGGCTCTCCCTGATCCGCTCCTCTCTGTCTCTCTTCGCTTCTCTCACTCAACCACTGGGCATGGACCGTGCAGCTTCCCCAGTGCTGGCAGGGGGGTGATTGGAAAGATGAGACCCTGACTCCCATGAGTTGTTGGCAAGGTGTTTTCTGGAGCAACAGAAGTGTGAATCCCCTACCCCAGGAGCTCTGGCTCTTCCCCGGCCCAGCCGCAGGGCAGCAGTGTTGAGTCTCGCAAAGAGCCAGGTGCTGCTCGGGTGGGATCCCCTGGTGCTGCCACCACCCCCAGGCCTAGCCCAAGTCTCCAAGCAGAGAGAGAGACTTCAGGAGCCAACCTGCACGGTCGAGAACAAAGAAACAAAGACTTTACGGCTCCCCACCGACATCAAACACGGGTCCATTGTAAATGGCACAGACAGGTTTTTGTTCTGCTCTGCAGTCCGCCTCCCCGGTCTGTGATTGCTGGGAGCCTGGCTGCATACCAGCAGCCCCTGGTTAAACATCAACGTCCATAAACACCACCATAAATGTCATGTCACAGCACTGCACAATAGCAAAGGTGTACAGGTCCAACGCCTGCGAGGGTTAAGTAAGGCTAACACCACTCCCTCTCACCTGCTCTGCATTTAGCTCGTGGGATTTGATGCACCGGGGTAGCCCTTTAGTCCCTCAATGGGCCCTTGCTCCTGGCAGCAGCTGTATGGTGATGGTCAGGAGGAAGGTACAGCCCAGCCCACACGGCAGCTGGCCAGTTGTGCAATGCAGCCTGGGCATGGGACAGAAGATTGCTAGAGTCATGAGATCAGCACCCTTCCTTATGGCCTCTCTGTAATCCATCCTCTCCATCCATCTCCAGCCTCTCTGTAATATCCTGTCAGGTATTTAAAGACTCTTATCAAATGTCCCTCTCAGTCTTCTCTTCTTCAAACTAAGTAACCCTAGTTCTGCTTCAGCCTTCCCTCATAAGTTTTGCCTTCCTGGTGCCTATTCACTGTTGCTCTGTACTGGCTTCTCCAAACTGCCCACATCCTTCTTGAGGCCAAAAACTGGGAATTGGACTCCAGGTAAGGCCCTAGCAGTGTTAAACAGAGCAGACTATGGCTTGCCTTGATTTGCAAGTCATGCTCCTGTTGATGCACCCAATGATGCTTTTTTTGCGACAAGAGCACACTGTTGCCTCATATTCAATTTATGCTCCACCATAACTCCCAGATCCCTCCCTGCAGTACTGCAGCCCAGCCAGTCCTTCCCCAGGCTGTATCTGTGTACACAATTATTTCATCCCAAGTTCAGCACTTTGCACTTGTCCTTTTTTAATCTCACCTGATTGACTGCAGACCATTTCTCCAGTCTATCCATGTTGTTCTGGATCCTAGCCTGATCCTCCAGAGTATCTGCAACTCCACCCCATTTAGTATTGTTTGCAAATTTGCTAAGCATGCACCCAATTCCATCATCCAACTGATTAATGAAGATACTAAACAATACCAGACCCAGAGCAGACTCCCCCCACACCAATACCAGCTCCCAACTAGGCATTGGCCATGGATGACTACTTGTTGAGCAAGATGATCCAGCCAATTATGTATGGACATTACGGTATTTTCATCAAGTCTGTCTTTCCTTAGCATGTTGTGGGAAACAGTGTGAAAAGCCTTGCTAAAGTCGAGGTATATCACATACACTGCTCTTCTGAGCAATACCCGGCTTTGCAATAAAACACACACGTTTCTTTCTGGCAGGACCTTTCTCTTTCCCTGAATTCCCTCCATCTTGTTTCAGCCAAAACTATTTCATGGGACGATAGACTCCTAGGGTTACAAGGTACTTTAAGGGTCTTTTGATCCAACCAAAACACAAGTTTCCCAAAGGCACCATTCTCCCTCTCTGGGACTTATGTCCTGCAATCCCACAGGCTCCTTCAAAAAAAACTCAGCCCAAACCTAAATACCACCTCCCAGCTCCTCTTCTGCACTTCTTTCTCTTGCTTTTCTCATCATTTTCTGTGTGGAAGTGGAGATAGGAGTATCTCGCCTGCCTTCCCCCAGGTGCAAATTCAGCAAAGCTTACTCCACACTGTGAAATGTTGCCCCTCACCTATATGAGCTTGCCCCAAGTTGGATCTCTCAGAACCAGCTCAAACCCAAAACCCCTCAGGCCTGGGTTTGTTAGACTGCAATACCCTCAGCCAGGTAACGTGAGTGAGATACAATAACAGCCATCTTCCTTCCAGCCCCTGAAAGCAAGCCTCCCTGTAATAGGGTGGCCACAATGCTCCTGGAGCCCCCTCAGCCCTTGTCAACCTGGCTGTCTTCGGGCAATCTCCCCATCCCCTCGCCTGCCACGTCTTGTTGAAAAGGGAGGCTGCCCCAGGGCTTCCCAAGTCAGATCTCCTCATGAGCGTCGGTGTCGCTGCCTATCGCCTTAAGGGTCAATTATGTGGACTACATCCTCCCCAATACCCATGTCATGGTGCTATACATACCCGTCAATCCTAACTGCCCCTATGGGCTCCTGGCTCTGTTTGTCCATTACACCAGCTCCAATCTCTCTGAGCTATGGGCATTCAGGCCCCCTCAGTCTCTAGCTGTGGTTCTCCTGACTTTCAGTCCTTCTCCTTAGATCCTGGCCCTGCTCCTAGACCGCTTGAGACCCCTGGGCTCTCCAGCCCTGGCAGCCTCTGGATGTGTCCCTTCTTAGCCTTTGGCCCCTCCTGAGCTCTGACCCCTCTCCTACACCCGTGAGACCTACGGGCACCCTGGCCCTACCTCATCCCTGGACCCTCCAGCTCTTTGCTCAATCCCTGGCCCAACTGGGACCTCCTTACATCCCCTTAATCCCTTCCACAATGCACCAGAGTTGCATACCGCAGCTCAGATGTTACCCAGGACCCCTGCTGCTCCAGAGCTCCTATCTCCATGACTCTCATGGCTAAACTGCCTGTCCAGCTCTAGCTTTGGGCTTATACCCTGCTAGCCCGGCCTCTTGCTGCTTAGGTGACTCCCCTGGTTGCCACCTGAGCCCTCACTGCAGCATCTGCCCCTCCTACAGCAACAAGTGCGACTCCCGTGCTGCCCTCTATGGGCTAAGAAGCCCTAAGGGGCACATCTACATGTGCACATTAATGCACATTAGCCTATTTTAGTGTGCATTAAATTGTCAATAAAAAGGTGCTATTTAGTTAATGTGCATTAAAGTGCACATGTAAATAGGCTAATAAGCATTAAGCATCATTTAAAAACCGTGTTTTTTTATTAATGCACAATTTCCGAGTTAAAGTGCCGTCACCGCCATTTTGAAGTGCAGAACGCTGAATACACATGAAGCTGTAGGCACATTAATTAGAGCTGTTCTCAGAGTTGCTCTAATTAAAACGCCCCTTCACATCCCCCCTCCCCCTGGAGTATGTGTACAGTCCAAGCAGGGACTGTGGGAGCGCAGTTGTAGGGTCCAACTCCAACATTGGTCTGGGGTCAGCAAGTAGGACATGGGGCAGTGTCCTGGAAGCTGGGGGAGGTTGGTGAGGGAAACGTGTGGCCCTCACTGGCAAAAAGCCTTGAGCAAGTGCATAGGGAGCTGTGCCTACAGCTGAGAATGAAACCCCACCAGAGCCACATTCAATTACCCTCTGCCCCTCACCCAGGCCATCTCATAGAATCAGAGACAATGAGGGTGGAAGGGACCTCAGGAGGTCACATCTAGTCCAACCCCGTGCTCCAAGCAGGACCAGCCCCAACTACATCATCCCAGCCAAGGCTTTGTCTACCAGGGTCTTCAAACCCTCCAAAGCATGGAGAGTCTACCACCTCTCTGGGTAACCTGTTCCAGTGTTTTACTACCCTCCTGGTGAGAAAGTTTTTCCTAATATATATCTTCAGACAGATCTGTCTATCTATGCTACAGAGGAAGACAAACTCCCAGTCTATAATAATTTGATCACTACCGAGCACTACCGGGGGGTAACAAGGAACAGCGGCCATAAGTTGACAGAGAGTAAATTCAGGCTAGACATCGAGGCACTACTTCACTGTCAGGGCAGCTAGGATCTGGGACCAACTTCCAAGAGAAGTGGTGCTGGCTCCTAGCCTGGGGGTCTTCAAAAGGAAGCTAGACAGACACCTTGCTGGGGTCATTTGACCCAGTACTCTTTCTAGGGGGTCAGACTAGATGATCCGCTCAGGTCCCTTCCAATCCAACCAACTA